TTTGTTTAAGCCTTGCTTTAGCCAAATGCAATAAAAGCAAGGATTAAAAACAATCAAATCTTGTAGAAAATTCATTCACCAATCTGATAAAACTATGTGGGCATTGCTGAGAGATTTAGTTAGTCAGCATTATTCAATGGAATATCAAAATTGAGCAATATGAACGAATTTCCTTTTTCGTTTGTTTTGATTGACCTATTTTGCTAAAACCTCTTTTTACGCAAAATGAAATAAAAGAAACTATTAAGAACACTTCAGTTAAGTAGAAAATTGATTCATCAATCGTATAAAATTATGATGGCATGGCTAAATGTTCTATATAGCTGGTATTATTCGACGGAAGATCAAAATTGAGGGAATCGTCGTATTTGTTGAATCGGTAATGGCCCGGTTGACAACATTTAAATCCTTCTCGCTCACATTCAAAAAAGTTCGATTTGGCGGGCACCACTCGGTATATTTTTCAAATGAGACCGTATATTTCGGTGCTGTTCTGAGGGTCATACTGTAGAAACTGGTTTTCGCCGCGCTCCCATGTGGTGTTTTTTAGTGCAAAATGGTATTTTTTTCAATAATTAATTTAGATTTCAATGTTATATAGAAATCCAATATATGCAAGAATTTCGAATAGACCAATCATGTATAGAATTGATTCATCAATCGTATAAAATTGAGTGGGCATGGCTAAATGTTCCATATAGATAGTATTATTCAACGGAACAAAGAATATGAGGAATTGGTCGTTTTTTTGAATCGAATTTGAATTCGCCGCAATTCGCCGAAGTTCGCCGCAGTTCGCTTTAGCAACAATGAGTCCCATTCCATACAACATTGCGGCAACATTTCCTTGAAAACCGTATTTTAGTCAAAATAAAATACATTAATATAATTAAAAGAAGCAATCTTGTAGAAAATGCATTTATCTATGGGATAAAGCTAAGTGGGCATCTATAGCTTGAAATATAGGCAATACCCGATTCGCCGCAGTTTGGCTTTTGCAACAATGAGTCTCATTCCATACGCAAACATGTTGCTAATTCCATGCACACATACCCTGGGGGAAATGGATGTTATAGAATTGTGAATACGTTTGTCTTCCAAGGCTCAGTAGGTATCAGGATCGAGATAAATATATACAAATACACATGAATAAGTCAAAAACATGTCAATTTGAGAAAAGGTCTTAATAAATTGCGTTTGATCTACATAGAAAATTAACAAAATAGGGTGCACAAAGGCCTATACACGCATCATGTCTTTAAATACCAGCAACATTGCGACTGATTTTTTGTTGAACTATTTTGTTCAAACCTTGTTTTAGCCAAAATACAATAAAAGCAAGGACTAAAAACTAACCAATTGTGTAGAAAATTTATTCATCTTTGTTCTAAAATTATGTGGGCACTGCTAAATATTCTATTTAGCTGGTAATATTCGACGGAATATCAAAAACGAGGAATATGCATAACAGAACTTGACTTCGTCAGTATTTTTACGGTATATTTCCTAAATGAGACGGTATGTTTCGGTATATTTCTGAAGGTCGGACAAGTCCGCGGTCACACTGCTGCTCGTATTGATTTTATTAAAAGGAGATAAAAACTTTTTTAAGTTTTTCCAATACGTCACTGAGCGCTAGGGTCCGGACGAGCCCCATTTAGTTGTTGCATTTAAATGCAATTGTATAAAAAGCGAAAATAATTCCTCATAATGGGTGACAACGAACAGAAGGCACTGCAGCTGATGGCTGACGCCGAGAAGAAGTTGACACAACAAAAAGGCTTTCTAGGCTCTCTTTTCGGGTAAGTAAATTGTGAAATATGACTATATGCGTATGCCCGAATGTGGTGCTGTGTCTCCTTGCTCTATTCCAACGGTTAAATAATGCAAACCCACATCTTAAACTTACGCACATATGAATGTATGTATGTATGTATTAATGTACATGCCATTAATTCAATATGAAAGTCCAGTAAGCTTCTCTGCTTTTGTTCTGCCTCCAGTCTCACCAGATTCCAATACCGTACAATACAATATAATATAATAGCAAGCATGTTGCACCACTTAAGTTATTAATTTGTTAACACAACGAAATTTGAAATGGTGATTCATAGTCTATTGGAAAAGAGGTCGCTTACGATCTTGCACAATTGTTCGTTTGTTATTTTTTCTCCTATATGTAAGTCCGATTGGATATTAATGCATGTGTGTATGTATCATAAACTTGTGTGTCTTTTTTGCAGAGGCGGCTCAAACAAGGTTGAAGATGCCATCGAGTGCTATCAGCGTGCTGGCAACATGTTCAAAATGTCAAAGAACTGGACAAAAGCAGGCGAATGCTTCTGCGAGGCGGCCACTTTGCACGCACGCGCCGGGAGTCGCCATGATGCAGGCACCTGCTATGTGGATGCCTCCAACTGCTACAAAAAGGTTGATGTTGAGAACGCAGTCGCCTGTCTGATGAAGTCCATAGACATTTACACTGACATGGGTCGATTCACGATGGCCGCCAAGCACCACCAAAGCATCGCTGAAATGTACGAGGCTGATTCCAATACTCTGGTAGGTGGCCTGCAGCGGCGATTGAGCATTGATCGTTAACAGGACACTTCTATTCCCACACAGGCTCAATCAATTCAACACTATGAGCAGGCTGCAGACTACTTTAAGGGCGAGGAGTCTGTGAGCTCGGCCAACAAGTGCATGCTGAAGGTGGCCCAGTACGCAGCCCAGTTGGAGGACTACGAGAAAGCAATATCAATATACGAGCAGGTGGCAGCCTCGTCGCTGGAAAGCTCGCTGCTCAAGTACAGCGCCAAGGAGTACTTCTTTCGCGCGGCTCTCTGTCATTTGAGTGTCGATCTGCTGAATGCCCAGCATGCAATCCAGAAATATGCGGAACAATATCCAGCATTCCAGGACTCGCGAGAGTTCAAGCTCATTAAGGTAAGAGATGAAATGTGGAGAACCTGCGCGTTTCTAATATGGGATTGGCTATTTTTATCCATAGATTTTGTGCGAACATCTCGAGGAACAGAACATTGAGGGCTTCACAGAGGCCGTTAAGGACTACGACAGCATCTCGCGATTGGATCAGTGGTACACCACTATTTTACTTCGAATCAAGAAGGCTGCGGACGAGGATCCCGATTTGCGATAAATTAATCAAACCCACACTATCTGATCTGATAAATTCACATACACATTTACTAAATGCTTTATTTGTTTCGGAAATTAATCTACCTATACAATATAGCTACAAATTAATTAAACAAGTGGCAATGCTTGTGCCAGAAAAGACACACATTATCCAAAAACAAGAACTAACTTACAGTTGAATAATAAATAAAGCATCCGCCCCATAAAATGGCAGCTTTTTCAAATGGGTAAAGCTATCAGCAAAGTTCAGAATATTCCTCTTGCAACGAATACAAAAACAAGCCAAATGCCACTGTTAATATATTTTGAAAATTGTGCAAATTCTGTTACCCATAATCATTTTTGTTGCACATTTGTACGAATGTGAATGCACGGCCATGTGTGGCATGTAACACGGTTATTTTGTCCGGTTTTGCGTTACATTTGATTTGTTATTTAATTTTTTTAAATTAGAAAAATGTTAAATTAGCTGATGGTTTATTTGAAAAGTGGAAGCTTCTACAATCTGAATGTTTTATTGTGTGAACATTGCAAAATAATTATATAAAATTAATGTTTTAACCGATGTTTGGAATGTTTGTTCGTTGAATCAAATTAGAACTCCTCCCCATTGATAATGCACAGAGAAAAGTAAAAGAGAGTTTTAGAATGCGCAACCTACCAACCCAACTATATATGTATGTCCATAAATATATATGTATCGAAAACTATCCCCCTATAAATAATATTCAAACGAGAGTTATGAAATCTTATAAATACTTGAGGGTCACATTTATTGAAAATTCCATCTCGCAAAAGTTTTGAAATGTTTAGTAGATTATATGGTAACTCCTATAAACGTGTATGAGAAATATTCAAATCCAATAAACAGAATAAAAAATAAAATTAAATATACTAAACGGGGCAGAGAATTGTACGCCCTTGCGGTCGAAAAGCCAATTATTAAATGGATATTCCACATAAATATATACATAAACCGATATCTAATTAAAATCACTGCAAGGGTATAAGCAATGCAATTACGCATTCATTACCATAGACACATATTTCAAATTTAACTATTTTAATAAAGTTACTTGCTTGGATTAATCCCGCTATCCCAGTCCTCGTATCCAAATTAATCAGAGTGCTTCCCTATCATGACCACAGAACACAGATACTCGTATATGTATTTCATTTGAATTTTGTATAAAAAGCATTGGTAAGCATATGGACCAGAAATATAATTCTGAATAGATTATCCAGATTGGAAGCGACCCAAACGTCAGCAAGTTTCCACTTCAGATCGATTGGGTTTCTCCAAACGAGTGAGGAGAACGCAAGTTATAAAAACATGATCAAGTCGGACAGAGCGAGCGGAGCGTCACAGCCACAGAAAAGAAAGTCTAGCTTCTGTGGGGTACGGTACCCTTTCTGATATATGTACAAGTAGTTCCTACATATACCAGCAATATGAAAAAGTGAACTTCTGGGCCAAAAATCAAAGCTCTTATAATCTGCATGTTTTAGAATGAACTTGATTTGCGTGGGAACCTCCCAGAGTGCTTACTGTCACTCTCTGCCAGTCTCCCAGTTCAAGATCGACTCTGTCTCTGTCACTGCCATCGATCCTGAACCAGAACATATAAGGCTCTCCTTCATGAACGCTCACGAACATCAGGTGAACGTGCGAGCACCAGGCCAGGCGTAAACAGAGCGACTGGAGCCAGTCGCGTCATACAAATCCGAGCAGCTCTCGATTGTTGCTCCCAGCTCTTGGCTCTCACAGAGCTCAGAGCTCAGTGCCGACGACCGTCATATCAGTGGCGTGGAATGATGCCTCAGTTATTCTGCCGTGGTCCGTGTGTTAGGTACAGTTTAATTGTTTAATCCGCTCAGCCGTTTGGCGGAGATTCATTGACATCTTGAGGCCTAGTGCCTACTTACCCACCCATTGGTTCCTCCCGTGGTCCAGAAAGGAAAATAATTATATAGCATTGACTCGCATTATATAAACCCCGTTTCGAATATATATAAATATATATATATAAATATTCGAGAAGATCACCTACGTATGTACATCGCTGTGTGTGTACGTGTGTGCGTGTAAGACTCATTGCATTCCGGTTTTGGATTAATATCCAAACAGCAAAAGTGCCATATACATATGTACATATATACTCGTACTCGTATAAACGTCGCTACGTCAGTGCCAATCCCACAGAAAAAACCCCGAAATACATCAGTAAATAAAAATTAAATAATTGAAACATACTACGCACATGTGTATGTACGAATGAACAATTATTATACATAACATCAGTTCCGTTCCACTGTTTTGATAGCCGAAACTCAAAACGAACTTGCAAAATGCTTGCATTAACAGGTAACAATCAATCGACAATGGGGGATATTCCCATTTTGTGGACACTCGTGCACCCAGTCATCAAATCTTTGCATTAGCTTAAGCACACACATCTGTATGTACATATGTAGCATCATCCCCGTACTTACTCGTACATACATACATATATGTCTGTGGAAGGAAGGTCGCCCTCAGATCATCTTTATCAGCAGAATAACACACACATTGTATTATCGTAGTATGGAAGTTTTGAAATGAAATTCACAATTAAGAAAATATGTTCCAATATCCGGAAGTACATATTTACTCACATTTTTATATACATACATATAAAGGCTTGACGCATTGCGGAATCTGGGCCTTTCTGATTGATCTGATATCTTCTAAGATACATACCTACATATACCTATACCTGTATCTATCGCTATATATATTTAGCCTGGCAGTTCTTTGAACTAAGACAAGTCTGACGGCGGGGGAAAGTGCATTTTCGTAATTAAGATGTAGAATAGAGTGAGAGATGAATCATTGTAGAAATCCGGACTGAAAGTGTTCATGGAATGTGGACAGACTTTTATGTACCAATAAATTCTACTATCTATTCAGCTGATTTTTTTAGTAAAGTTCTTCGTACATATGTATGTATATCCTAGATATAGGGGATTATGTAGAGTCAGAATTTACCCCACAAATCACTGTTTCATTTAATGGCAAAGCTTAAGACCGATTCCAAACATTTTTCACATTTCAGGTCGTTTATTAGGATGGTTCCACTTACTTGTGGTGTTTGTTGGCATATGCCTGGCAGGTGCGCAGCAGCAATATCCCCAACTGTCTGTTGGGACTCCCCTGGAGGCGTTGACCGCACCGACAGCTTTTGAGCAGCAAACCACCCATATCCAGTCGCTGCAGACCAACTTTGATACGGATTTGCTTCGCAATATTTCCCTGGGAGCACAGGAGTTTGGGCTTGATCTGCTGCAGCGCATATCTGTAGAGGTGCATAAATCCAACAGGGACTTTATGATATCACCCTTTTCCGTGTGGTCGTTGCTCGTCCTGCTGTACGAGGGCGCCAGCGGGGCCACCTACGAACAGCTGCGTCGAGCCCTGCGCATCAATGTTGAGGATGAGAAGCTACGCGCCGTCTATCAAGTGTGGAGCACGTACCTGAAGTATGTAACTGCCACTGATTGCATTCCTTTTACCCTTGGCTTACTAGTTTGTCTGGCTTTTCTATGGCAGCACCAAAACGGCCACCATAGAAGTGGCCTCGCTCCAGGCCGTTTACACCGACAAGGCTTTGCCCGTGAAGAGCGCCTACCGGGATGTGGTGAAGAACTACAACGTTCAGCCGGTGGAGGTGGACTTTTATAGTCCCAATACTGTGCACCAGATCAACGAGGCCTCGAACCGCACAACGCGCGGTCTCATTCCGTACACGGTGCTGCCCCAGGATATCTACGGAGCCAAGATGTTCCTGCTCTCTTCGCTGTTCTTTAAGGGCCAGTGGAAGGTGGGTTTTCTGTGCAGCGCTGTTTTCAATATAGTTAGGTATAATGCTTCCTCCAATTGCAGTTCCCCTTCAATCAGTCAGCGACTCGTATGGAGCCGTTCTACAACGAAAACGACGAGGTAATCACCAACATACCCATGATGGTGCAGGAGGCGAACTTCTCATATGCCACAAATATCCAGGGCCTAGACGGCTACGTATTGGAACTGCCGTATGGCGCACAGGACAGGCTCTCAATGATAGTTATACTGCCGAAGCGCGGCTTCAAGCTAAACGACGTGGCCAACAACCTGAAGGCTTTGGGTCTGTCCCCCATCTTGCAGCGTCTGGCCGACTTTAAGCGGACATCCTCGGAGGACAACCAGGTGGAGGTGCTAATGCCTAAGTTCACAACCACGACGGACTTTACCCTAAAGGGAGTCCTGGGGCAGGTAGGACATTCTCAGACATTCCATTCCACAGTCTACCTACAGTCAATTCTGTGATGTTCCTTTCACAGATGGGCATACGCGATCTTTTCGATGAGAATAGCGCGAACCTTAGCCGGATGTCGTCTGGACTATTTGCTAAAATCTGCATTCACTCCACCAAAATCATTGTGGACGAGCAGGGCACAACCGCCGGGGCCGTGACTGCCGCTGTGCTCGCCAACAAGGCGACGCCGCCAAAGTTCCAGCTGAACAAGCCATTCCAATACATGATCGTGGAGAAAGCCACCAATCTAATGCTCTTTGCCGGCCAAGTGCGCAACCCGAAGGCGGTTTAGACTTAAGCGAGACTTTATTGACATCGTATAGAAACAGAAACAGAAATACTACGTTAAGGCAATCGCAGCCTTCGGGCAGACTATTTTTTGGTGCGGCCGGTGGCTTTTTTCCCCCCCACGGGTTGCTGTTTGTCTTTGCTGGCTTTGCTCGAGATGAGAGGATGAGTTTCTGAAAGCGATTGGATACGATTGGATAGTGGATTGACGTTGGCATTCGGTTGGGAAGGTGCTTACCGTCGGTGGGGGCATCGGGCAGGCTGACATCATAGTGCTGCACGCGGCGACGCTTGGAGGCCATTATGTCGTCATCGTAGTCATGTGGGTCGTTGCTGAGTAACACGGTACTTGCCTCGAGACCGTCCTGTGCTGCCCAGCCATCCTCGGGATCCTCCACCTCTGGTGCCATGGGCAAAAATTGCAGGGCATTTTCGTCCTCCCCCTCCTCATCGGAGGAACAGAATGCTGCCACTGGTTCCACCTTTTGCACATCTACTTCAATCTCTTCATCCTGCTGGGCGTCTGCATTAAGGTCCACCGACTTGTCTTCATCGGCAATGTCAAACTCGGATTCTCTCTCCTCGTACTCCACATTCTCATCCAATTCTTTAAAGTCGGGGGCAAACGCCGACCAGTTTTCAACCTGGTTTTGTGCCCAGATCGAAACGAGTCCCGAGCTGATGCTGGCTATGATGGGTCGCACCGGATGCCACACCACGTCGAGCAGCAGTTCACCCTTTGTTCCATGGAGGATCTTCACGAGATTGCCAATCGACTTCTCCCATATGTACAGCGCATGCTGGCGTGCACTGCCCGCGCATATATATTCCCCGTCGCCAGAGAAGCAGCACTTCTTCCAGGTAGTTCTGCATAGATAACGCTGTAGATTGTAGACTGAAACATTCACAGTCGAGGCAAGAACTCACTTGTTGACCAGATCCTGCAGCTTTTGTATTGGCTCTGGTTCGCCGTCCCTGCCCAGTGCAATGATTTCCTTAGAGTCGTACACGCGTATCACTCGATCCGACGTGTTGATGAGGAATGCGCTAAAATAGATTTAAGCGGTACAAATCTAGGTACTATATTGTCTGGTTTTAGTCACTTACTCGCCCCGACGGGCAAATTCAATGCTCTTGACGGCTGTCGCACTCGAGGTGCCCACAATAATGCGAAAGCTGGCCACCACTTCAAACGTCTCCACGTCCAAGACGAGTATTTTTCCCTTGGCATTTCCCGTGTATATGTGCTTTCCACGACGATCGAACGACGCCACAATATTCAGATCACCCTGCCAAAGAAAGGTTGGTCATTCTCATTTTCTGTCCGTCTTTTTTTTGGGAAATTTGCAAACCAACATCAGAGTCCAGGGGCAGGCGGCGGTGTGATCCTCCGATTTCAACGAGAACGGCGGCATATCGCATGGGACACACCAGCAGTCGATTGTCGTTCCGGGGATCAAACTGCACCTTCAGGACGGGGGAGGGAAAACGGTACTTGTGCTCCAGTTCGCCCGTCAGAACGTCCCAGATGCACACATTATTATCTGTGGAGGCCGATAGCAACTGAAAGTGGAGGGGGGAAAGAAGAAATATTAGAGAAACATAAGGTTCAAAACGAGTGCCGGTAAGTCCACTCACCTTGTGCCCATTCCTGGTCCAGCTCAGACTGCACACGGGATGCACGTGGGCGGAAATGATTTTGGCGATGCCCCGCGTCAGAAAGTCCCATATAACTATTCGGCCATCGTTGCATCCCACGGCCAGGAGCGTTCCGTATTTGTTGAAAGCGCATGTGACTGCCAGGGAAATGCAGTCTAGGGAACCATCAAACTCCTCCGGATAGTTTTGTCCAAATGACTCTAATGGATACAAGATGGTTGGTTTATTAAGTTACCTATATTAAATACAGGCTTCGTACCCAACAATTCCAAATTCATTTTGTTTATAGTAGTGTGACCATCGATGGTCTGAACTAAGCCATCGATACTATCGATTGGTGTGCGCGCCAAGGAGAAATTTTTTGATAGTGAATGAGTGACAAGGATATGGAAATTAAATATATTGATGAAATTGATAAAAATACGCCATTATATACCAATATACCGTAATTATACCTTCAACTCAATTTCGACCTCAAAATAAACACAAAAATATATTATTAAATGGTCACCCTGGCTTATAAAGTAGCTACTGCCATTCACACTCACACGTGTTTGCTGATCGATATGTCGTTGAATATTCATTCTCCAAAAAATAACGTTCAGTTTAGGAATGCTTACACATATTTGTATGCGACATTGTTTCGGGGATTTATTACACTGCATTAAAAAGTTTGGTATGTATGCATGTATCAATTTTTCATTTATTTCCAGTCCGTGTCGTACACCATTGTATTTCCTTATGGAGTAGTATATTTGAAAAGCGATACGCGATATTTATTGTTTTTTCGTATTTTATAAATTCAAATAAATTCCTCAAATTTTGTTCAAATAAAAATCGTGTTTTCTTTGTGCTAGAACTAATATATTTGCGAAATTGCGGCGTAACATATTAATTTATTTCCGGTTCTAGCGCGTTAGGATGTTCCGCTGTAGCGTTTTTTACGTTTCTTTTGGTCACACTGATCCAGATCCGAGTGGTTTTTTTTGTGTGCACGTTGTATGTGGAAAATTATGAAATTAATTATATTTATAAGTGGATTATGTGGATAGTGCGCAGAGACTATACCTACGAAAATCGAATAGAGATTTCATCAAGTTTTCAATCGTCAGAGAGGCAATTCGAGGACAAAAATCATTTGCACGCGATTGTGTCAACGTCACCTTTGGAGCAGAGCAGCCTCAGCCTCTCTCTGCCACTCTCTCGCGCTCTCTTTCTCTCCCCGTCTCACTGCTAAATTTTGCGTATGGGCGCTAATTCTCCTGAAAGCTTAAGTGGAGTGAAAAAATATACTCGAATTGTGTTCAACTCGAGACTGAATTCAGTTTTTTGTTCACAGGAAAAGTTGTCATCCTAAATTTGTGCCTGTCCTCTCTCCTTTTTGGATGTGTATTTACTGATGCTAGATTTCCAAAAATTGGAACAAAAAATTCATTGTATTCCTAATTATTTCGCTCGTTTCGTGAGTCTGTGACAACGAATGCGCTCAATTTCATGTGCTTTTTCTCTCCCCCTGCTTTCTTACATTATTTACAATTGTATGTGTGGGTGTATGTTTGTGTGCTCATGTGAATATTTAAATATGTGTGTAATTTGTGTATATAACCGTTTACAGGGTATACATCGCGGCAGCCACGTTGAAAGGAAGAACGTGAATGTCAATACAACGAACACACAGAGGGAACGGTGAAGATAAAAACTAGCGGCGCAGAAGAATCGAGGAAGGAACAGGCTGCTTAACCCTCCCCCCACAGCCACCAGCCACGAGCCACCGTCACACAGCAACCACAAAAAACCACTCGTAATTCTATTGGCAACGACTTCGAAGGGGAACAGGAGATAACAATTCACAAGCAATATGTCTGGCGAAGAAACGTCTGCTGATCGCAATGTCGAAATATGGAAAATAAAGAAACTCATCAAGAGTCTGGAAATGGCACGCGGGTGAGTACTCTCCTCCATCCATGACACCATGGCTCCTCCATTGTGTGCATATTTTTTTCTCAGTTTTCCTTTTGTGGGGTACACACACCATGCTGCAACGGGGCGGGCGTGTGTGGGGGGCGGGAGCGGGAGCGGAGATACTGCGCGCTGTCGCCAGACCTTGCGACCGTTTTGGGGGAGCCCCAAGTGGTGCGAGTGGTGGTGGGTGGGTGGATGTACAACCACCACCTTCACTTTTTGAGTAGAGTGACTCTCTGAGAGCATATTGTTTGCGAGGCTTTGAGCCCCATTCCTCTCAAGCAACAACACCACCCGTTTGGAGGCATTTTGGCCTTTCCCCGTTCGCGTTCCCTACCGAGCAACACGTTTTTTGTCGGGTTTTTATCGGTTCAAACTAGACCTTACCGCTGTGCCCCGCCGAGGTGGAGCCGTGAGTAATCCGCCTCGTGGCTCTCTTCTGCCTATCAGAGTGAGTGTGCTCTCTCCCTCTCTCTCTCTCTGTCTCTATTTGAGTATCCCTCTCTCTCACTCTCTGGGGTCCTTCATTCGATTGGGGTCCCCGATTCTCTCCGACAGTGGGTAACAAGGTCAACTATTCAAAGAACTTGGTTTTACTACGGCGTGTACATACATATGTATGTATGTACATACATATATCTCACTCAGAGTGGCGCCTCCCTGCGATTTCAATTCCGATTCCCACTCACTTTCTCTCCTTTGATTTCAGAAATGGCACCAGCATGATTTCTCTGATTATTCCGCCAAAGGATCAAATCTCGCGCGTTAGCAAAATGTTGGCCGATGAATTTGGAACAGCCTCGAACATCAAGTCGCGCGTGAACCGCTTGTCCGTCCTCGGTGCCATTACGTCGGTCCAGCACAGACTTAAGTTATACACCAAAGGTGAGTTTTTCTATTGAGGAAATGATCAGAGATAAATAATTTTTGCTCGATTTCAGTGCCTCCAAATGGTTTGGTCATCTACTGCGGCACCATTGTCACAGAGGAGGGCAAGGAGAAGAAAGTGAACATAGACTTCGAGCCATTCAAGCCCATCAACACCTCGCTGTATCTGTGCGACAACAAGTTCCACACGGAGGCCCTCACTGCCCTGCTGGCCGATGATAACAAATTCGGCTTCATTGTGATGGATGGTAATGGTGCGCTGTTCGGTACCCTGCAGGGCAACACCCGCGAGGTACTGCACAAATTCACCGTCGATCTGCCGAAGAAGCACGGACGCGGTGGTCAGTCCGCCCTCCGTTTCGCCCGTCTGCGCATGGAGAAGCGCCACAACTATGTGCGCAAGGTGGCAGAAGTGGCCACCCAACTGTTCATTACCAATGACAAGCCCAACATTGCCGGCCTCATTCTGGCTGGTAGCGCGGACTTCAAGACCGAGCTCAGCCAGTCCGATATGTTTGATCCCGTAAGTGTCGCCCTAGAGCCTCTGTCCTCCGCAT